AATTTTGCGAGAAGCGATACGTTCCTTCATTCGAGCAGCAAATAGTGACTTAGCTTCGTTGAGGACACGCTTACACTCGTTACGGGCAGAGGCAAAGGGACGTCTATTGCAGTCAGACATATCGCTACGATAGAAGTGGAAGAAGTGGTTCCTATGGGCAATGGCGACTGAGCAAGCAGCAGAAAACCAGGGGGAGGAACGCGATTTGACCTTAAATTTCCTTGAGGGGATGAAAGCGTCGATTCCAGCTTTGACCCAGGAGGAGACCTCAGTAGCACACTCTTGAACGGGGAGCGTAAAACAACATCCCAGGGAACATCGCGGAGGAAATCACGGGACGAGTCCCAGTCAGCTCGTTGATAGCAGAATGAGGTTCTAGAGGTAGGTGGTTCTTTACAGGAGATGGAGTTGAAGGAGATGTTGACCAACACTACGGCGTGATCGGAGTTACCGAGAGGGCAGAGCTGCGAGACACTAAAAGACTCGGAGATTGAGGTAAAACACAGGGCCAGAAGAGAGGCCTAACCGTCTCGGTTGTAGGCAAAACGCGTGGGGAAGTCAACTATCTGCGTGAGGGATTGAGAGACTGAAAAATTAAGTATTTGAATACCTGCAAGGTCAGTTGTAGCATTCTTAAGCCACTTGGTATGATGGTCGTTAAAATCGCCAAACACCAATATGTAAACAAACGGATGGAGAGAGAGAGCCTTGTCTATGCTGTCAGAAATCGATAATTCCCCAGTCTTGAGAGGATGGAGAGCGATAAAGGAAGAAGAGATAGCTTACAGCATTGAGAAGAGACAGCCGGAGACACAAGTACGAATAGTCTGGCGATTCGAGAGACACCTCTCTAGCCAGTGGGAGAATGTCCTTGACGTAAACACCAAGGCCGTCCATGTGGGTTTGAGAGTCTTTTCTAAGGAGAGGGAGGTAGCCGGGGACCGAGAGATCAGAGGAGGGGATATACGGGTCAAGGTTGGTCTCACACTCAGGATATCCGGGTAGTTTGCTGCGAGGAAGGATTCCACGCTGCAGATATTGGTTCTAATGCCACGGATGTTGGAGAATGGAATGTTAAAGGGTTTAGGTGATTTTTGAAGGGCTGCTTTAGGTTTACTTTTTCGATCTTTGTAAGTCATCATGTGGAATTCTCGTTGGAAGGCCTGAAGTAGAAGTAACAAACGATTATCAACCGTGGCGTGGGCAGAGAGAAGTTGGCAAAGCCTGCATCATAATGTGGCCTCAGGATTGCCCACTGGAGGTGACTGCAGGGATACCTTTCCATGCGCGACATGGCACTACAAAAACCCCGGTATTATGCAACTGCTGATCAGAGCGGCCGCTCAAGACGCTACGCAAGACTTAGGGCTCCTAACTACCAGTCGGAAACAGCAACCAGAGAACTGTCAACCGTGTACCCTCAGAATGAAGAGGTATTGCCGCAGACTGCACACATCACGGGAGAATCACGGCAGCAGAGGCCAGAGAGAGAGAGAGAGCGAGACATCCATAAAATAAATTAATTTTAGATTAAAAATAATATAAAAATTAAAATAATAAAATATATCTAGAACAAATTTTTAAGAAATCTAGATAAGTATAAAAACGATAATACTATTAATAATATTAATATAAAATTAATATTAATTAATAATTTAAAACTATAAATGATGTAGGCATAAATGACCATATACAAAAATTTGAATACGCGCATAGTAACCATATAAAGCAGAATCAACGCTACAATTGTATATCACCCAAAGTTAATGTTTTGTAGGGAATTTTAAATCTATACTTATATCTACACTTGAGGATAAGTTCGTTTCTTTGATTCAATATTGGATAAAATTCTTATATTTGATCATTATAATTTTCTCTTACGTAAGTAAACAAAAAGGTGTGTTGGAAAATCAAGGAAGTAACTCTATTGTTTCCAAAAATCAAAACAGTGTAGAGAATTCGGAAAGAATTGAATGAGTCTAATGATGATTACGAAGGTGTTGTAGTGATCACTAGTGACGTTGACGTTATGCCTCCATTAATTTTTCCACATTGCCTCAAACCCAACATGGAGGCCTACATGAAATGGCTTGAGTCCTGGGTTAAGTGGGCGGCTGTTGGAAGATCGTATGTTTGGCATCAGGACACAAGTAGAAGAACCCAGTCATGGCTGTCAGAAAATGTCTGCGATCACATCACCCCTTGCAACTAACTTTCCAGACTGCAACCCCCTTGATTATTATGTGCAGGGCGCAGTTGAGTGAGAGTCGAACAAAACACCTTGCAACACCAAAGATTATCTGTAGGCAAGGATTATGACAACATTCAGCAACTTCAACAACGAGACCGCCCAGAAGAGTTCCACGAGATTCGATAGTCGGGTGAAGGCAGTACTTGAAGCCAATAACGATTTTATTGAACAAATATACTCTTTATCATTTTAAGATATGTTTGTGTGACATTGCTAAATATATCTGTCAAAATCAAACATCTGTTATTTTAATTTTTTTAATTTAGAACAAGCATATCCTGTATTGACATAAGAAAACATATATTATAGAATATAATAGAATTATTTTCATTTATATTTTTTTTTTCATTTCAAAATAATCAAAAAACAAACAAAAACTTTTAAAGGAATCGACGTTTCGGTTTATTAAAAAGACGTCATCAAAATACAATTCAGTTCAATATGACAAATGATGGACGACAGCAGATAACTGAAATTTTTAAAATGATCAGCCTTCCGTCTACCATGTTAGACGGCATGGGCGGCTGATTCATTTTAAAAATTTCAGTTATCTCATTTTCTGAATAAGACAAACTTTTTGTGTTTTATGTCCATCGTATTTGTCATATTTTTGAACTGAATTGTATTTTGATGAATATTGTCTTGAAAAAGGTTTAATAAACCGAAACGTCAGACGTCGACATTTCTTTCATTTAACTACATTTAAGGATTTTTTGTTTGTTTTTTCAAAATTTCTTCATATATATATATATATATATATATATATATATATATATGTTTTTATATATGTGCTCGGAAGAGAATTCAGGACCACTTCTGGCACATATTTTATCGATTAGAAACGTGGAATAATGATGCCACGGTGGTATAAGGGACGCGATTCGGAGCAGAAATTGTTGAACCGAGTTCAAATTCCAATCGAGTTCATTACATTAACTTACGCGCAAATACCGTTAGAAAATACAGAAATCCATGTATTCTAACCCCCAGCTATTGGTTAAATCACAAGCCTATTTGGTCCCACTAACCAGATTGGCATCCAGTCGACGAGAATAACGAGTTCATAAAATCTCTTACATCTCGAGGCAAAAATGAGTGTCCATTCTTCTTTGCAAAATAACTAATTGTCAGAAACCTTTGGTGGTTTCCTTCTGAACATCAATTATCAAGTCTTGCCGCAGATTCTCAATTTGATTCAGCTTCACTCTTTCACTGTTTCATTCTAACACATTAATATTCTTTCATGTAAGTCTTTCTATTGTAATTCTGATTCTATGTTCAGGATTATTGTTCTGATTCAATGTGAGCACCCATCCCAGTATCCAGCCTTTTGCAGACTGTAACAAGTTTTCTTCGTGGTTTGCTGTTTATTTGGCTTCATCCATCTTCCCATCAATTCTGACCTGATTCCCTGTGCATAGTGAAGAAAATAACCCCCCATAACATGTAGCTGTAACCACCATGTTTTACGAAGGGGAGGCTATGCTCACAGAGATGTGTAGTTTTAGGTTTCCGACGCTTGTAGCATTTCGCATTTTGTTCAAAATCGTCAGATATGGCTTCGTTTGAGCAGAGCTCATTCTAGCACATATGACTCCCAAGTGGCTTGTGGAAAACTACATACATGACTTTTTTTTAACAATGGCTTCCATTTTGCCATTCCTCAATAAAGTTCATATTTGTGGAGTGCACGACTGAAAGTTGCACTGTAGACAGATTCTCTTACTGTGGATATTTGAAGTTCCACCTTATTTATGATGGGTCTTCGGTTGCTTATATATATATATATATATATATATATATATATATATATATACATATATATATATATAAAAGGCTCAAACAGTAATATTTGTATTTATAGATTTGATGAATTGGATCGTTATTACGATTCCAATGCCATAAATTATAACCATGGAATATTAGTGTTTGAGCGTTTTAATTTTACACTGTCCTGGATATTGCATTCTACCTGGATTCTATCCTCTTGGGAATTTATATATATATATATATATATATATATATATATATACATTGACCACTAAAATTATCTATCTATCTATCTATCTATCTCTCGCTCTCTCTCTCTCTCTCTCTCTATATATATATATATATATATATATATATATATATATAAGCAAGTGTAAATGGATAAAATCCGACAGAATGTAGAAATTTTGAAAAACAAACAAAAATCCATAAATGTAGTTAAAAAAAAATTTGTTTCGACGTCAGACGTTTCGGTTTTAATAAACCATTTTGAAGACAAATTCATTAAAATACAAATTCAGTTCTTGAAAAAACGATGGACATAAAAAACAAAAGTCTTATCAACAATAAAACATTTTAACTACATTTATGGATTTTTTGTTTGTTTTTTCAAAATTTCTACATATATATATATATATATATATATATATATATATATATATATATATATATATATATATATACAGAGATAGTTATCTTCATACGTATATGTATATCAATTGAGGAAACACTGCCCCGTGTGTGTGTGCGGCTCAGTTGTGAGGAAATCAAAATGCAACACATGCACCACCCGCCAGGATATAAAATTGTTTTTTTTTTATTGCGATATATAGAATCATTCTAATTTGCAACATTTGAAGCAGGCAACTTTATAGCGCGTCGGTCTTTCTTGAGGAAATCAGTGTTCAATCAAATCAACATTCTTCGTATGACCTTGATTTGAACACCGACAGTTAGATCAGGTAGAAGAATAAAAATGCTATCGCAGATTAGATAGATAGATAGATAGATAGATAGATAGATAGATAGATAGATAGATAGATAGAGTTGAAAAAACAGACAGATATCGTTTTAGAAATTCGCAGAATTGTTTAAAATGTGCTAAATGTGGAAAGATTGCTAGATATGAAAAACAATGGACATCGAAATCAACACTGCATTACGACTAGCACTTTCATAAAATATATGGAGTTTGATGATCGCTTAAGAAGTAAAACTGATAGATAGATAGATAGATAGATAGATAGATAGATAGATAGGAATAGGCTAAGATAGATAGATAGATAGATAGATAGATAGATAGATAGATAGATAGATAGATATTGCACTGAAATACATACTAATATGCATCATGCATACTTAAAGAACAAAGTGACATAGATAGATAGATAGATAGATAGATAGATAGTCTATGTGTAAATAATGTAGTTAATGATAACTCCTCATCCCGGAAATTTAGACAGAAATGACAAATAGATGGATTTTGTAAGGAAAGAGACATTGCAAAGTAGAGAGGTTTTATGAATTAAGCTCACAAAGAGAACGCTAAGTGTGTTTAGTAAACTTATCTGTTGTCTACACGTGTGTATGAGTGTGCGCATGCGTGCGTGTGTGTCATGAGCATCAGAATGTACAACGTGCAATGTGCACGTGCGCCTGTTTCTGTTCAAACGTTGCCTGCCTGACTACACATACTTTCACGCATGCGTGCCCGCACCACCCGCCAACGCATACAAGATTTATGGGTGCAGAGAGGATTGCACTTTTTTCTTATTCTCCTCTCACCCGGCCTTAGTTTTCGTCGCGAGTGGGAGGAATTAATTCGCTCTCTCTAAATATTCTCTTGTTAACAACAGCTGGAACGCAGGTGGGAGTGCAAAGGCTATATGAGAGAGAGAGAGAGAGAGAGAAAGAGAGAGAGAGAGAGAGAGAGTGGTAGAGAGTAGGAAAGACCAAATAAGGAAGGAAGGAAGGAAGAAAGGAAGGAAGGAAGGAAGGATGAAAAATATGTTTGGAACCAAAGGAGCAACAAATGATGATATAAGTAAGAAAGGATGAATTAAGTAAGGCGTGAAAAAGAAAGGAAAAAGTGGGGAAAGAAAGAAAGAAAGAAAGAAAGAGAAAAGGTATGAAGGAATAGTGCAAAAGTAAAGAAAGAAAGAAGGAATGTTAAAAAGAACGAACGAATGAATGAATAAAAAAATAATATCAAAAAGCAGAAGAGAATGAAAGAAAGAAAAAAGAAAGGAATGAATGAATGAAATAGTGTGCAAATAAGAAAGAAGGAAGTTTAGACATAACGAACAAATGAATGAATGAACGAGCAAACGAAAGAAAGAATATCTGAAGGATAGCGTGAAGAAAGTAAGGAAAAGGGAATGAATGAAAGAAACGAGAATGGAGTAGAATAAATTGTATAAAAAAGCAGGAAAGAACAAAAATGAAAAAATGAAAGATTTAATTAAGGCGTGAATAAGAAAAGAAAAAGTGATGAATGATAAAAAAAAAGAAAAAAGGTTAGAGAGAATGAACGAATGAGCGAATGAACGAACGAACGAACGAACGAAAGAAAGAAAGAAAGAAAGAAAGAAAGAAAGAAAGAAAGAAAGAAAGAAAGAAAGAAGGTTAAAGAGAATGAACGAATGAGCGAATAAACGACACGGACGAAAAATTAAGAAAGAAAGAAAGAAAGAAAGAAATAAGGTTAAAGAGAATGAACGAATGAAGAAACGGATGAAAGAAAGAAAGAAAGAAAGAAAGAAAGAAAGAAAGAAAGAAAGAAGGTTAAAGAGAATGAACGAATGAGCGAATGAACGACACGGACGAAAATTAAGAAAGAAAGAAAGAAATAAGGTTAAAGAGAATGAACGAATGAAGAAACGGATGAAAGAAAGAAAGAAAGAAAGAAAGAAGGTTAAAGAGAATGAACGAATGAGCGAATGAACGAACGGACGAAAGAAAGAAAGAAAGAAAGAAAGAAAGAAATAAGGTTAAAGAGAATGAACGAATGAAGAAACGGATGGAAAAAGAATGAAAGAAAGAAGAAAGAAAGAAAGACATAGAAAATAAATAAATGAAAACGGACAGAATGTAAAATGGAATAAACATAAAAAAATAAAAAAAAACTAGAATGGAATAAAAAAATAATATTAAAAAAAAACAGACAAAAAAGAAATTAAGGAGAAAGAGAAAGGAAAAATGAATAGTTAAAAAAAGTAACAAAAAGAAAGGAAAGCGTGTTTTGTTTTGTTTTTTTTTTTTGTTTTTTTTCTAGAAAAGATGACTCCTCTCTTTCCGGCACCGTGTTGTTGGCCAAATCTTGTTGCAACAAATAAATCAACTAATAGAATAAAGTCAGAATTCCTGACACCTCTTGAAATGATGATGATTCTTCTCAAAATTATAGACACGAACAATTCATATTGGACATAAAAATTTGCAAATGACAGTAACTTTGTTATTTTAACGTAAAGAAAATCATTTTATGTTTATTTGATAAAATTTGCTCTCTTGTCAAATGAGGATTTTGATTGGATGATAATGTCTAGTATTTATCTAGCTATGAGTATATCTTTGCTTGTTTGTGCTTTATCGAAATTAATACCGCTTGAAAGCAATGGCGCTGCAAACAGCTACTTATAGAAGATGCTCTGTCTTTCATCATGCAAATACAGTGTCGTCTGGGTATCAGTCTGGGAAAATCAGATAGGGTAACTCAACTTCTCACCACTTGGCCTGATTTATGCCATAAAATTTGGGGTATTACCTGCAAGATTATGAAAGAAAGTCTTGGGTTGTTAGGAACTAGTATTGTGCTAAACTGAATCTGAGTAACCCTTATGGTCACATCCCTTTGAAACACCAGTTCCAGAACGATCACTGATGTTAAGCAATATCTTGCTTGGTTAGTACTTTGATGGGTGACCGCTTGGGAATACCAGATGTCGCAAGGTTGGATGTGTAGGTGGTGCAACAAATAATGACTGGCAATTTTTAATCGGAGAGTTCTAATTCCAGTTTGGTACATTATATTCACTTACGTGCAAATACTCTTGGGTAAAGTATAAATCCACCTCTTCTCCCCAGCCTGCCAACTAATTAGTACTTATTTACTAAAAAAAGAAAATATTACTTATTTACTAAAAAAAGAAAATATTACTTATTTACTAAAAAAAGAAAATATTACTTATTTGCTAAAAAAAAACCTTATCACTAAATCAATATTACCTCAAAAATAATTCTTACAAGTTAAAAATATCCCAGACTTTAAATAAGCCGATTTGGTTGAGAAGCCTGTGAAAACGATTCAATCATTAATAAATAAAAAAACAAACAAACAAAAGTAAATATAATATGGACTTTAGTTGCTAAACTTTGTGAACAATATCATTGAGTAGGTAGTGTGAAAAGATCATGGTGGTGGGGGGGCGTCTTTAAGGGAACAAGCCTAGACGAGGAGTTGTTAGAAGGTTAAGTCAATTTTTCATGCTAATATTTTCTGAAACATTTGTTAAAGCAAATTAAACTAGAAAACCATTTTTGTAATGTCTGTAATTTATTAATTTATTTTTGATGGGTTTTTTTTATAGTTGTCATCCGTAACAAATTATTTTAATTTATTTCATAAAATGAATAAAATTTGTTTTTTGTTTTTTTTACGGCATCGAGATTATTCCTTACAAACAAAAAAATATTGGAACGACAAAACCAATTCCATTTTTTTTTTCTGAAGATATTTGGCTTTGAAATCAAAAGATGAATTTTTCCAATACCTTCGGCGGGGTTATTGAGTGGAAAGAATTGTGGATCTGAATGCAATTTCTTCGTTTTTTTATAGTGTTATTTATTAGCTTTTTACTTATTATTTATTATTTTATTATTTGTTGCTTGTTGGTTTTATAAAGTTTCGTTTGGTTTATGCGTGCGTCCATTGTTTCTTCATTATTTGCTTAATTTACTCATTTTTGATTTGGATTAATTTATTTTACTTATTTTTATTCATTTGCTTTTTTTTTCATTTTCTTCGATTGATTTTTATTTATTTTTGTTCATTTTTAGCTTACAAATGATTCATTTACATAATTTGATTTCGTGTCTGCATTTTGAGATATACTAATTTTTGAGTCTTAGAAGGTAATTATAGTTATTTTATTTTCCAGACAGAGTTTAGTTTTTGGAGTTATTGTTTTAGGCTAATTCTGTTTTCTTATTGTCTATATTTTTGGTGGGATTTGTTTTTAATTTCGCAAACATGTTGAGAAAGCATATTTAATATTTGTAAAAGATATTTTCCGCTTGCGTTGTTTCTTAGTTTCCGGGGTCACTCAGTTGCTCCTATATATTGGTTTTCTTCGTTGTCTGCTGATTTTACTATGGCTTGGTATATTACAATGCTCTACATGCATTTTAGGTTTAAGTGAAATTCGATCTTTGCATACATTTACCCATACTTTTGATTTTGAAGGTTGTTTGTTTTTTGTTTTTGGGGTGTTTTTTTTTTCCTTTTGTGCTTGTTTATTATTTGTATCATGTTCTCCGTGCAAGTGTATTTGTTTTTTGCTGTGTTTGTGTTGAATATTTTGTGGACAGTTCTTGATGGGGAGAGGAAGTGTTTGTGCATGAGTTTAATTATTATTTTTTCTACGTTTGGGGTTTAGGTTTTTGTTGTACAACATATCTAACCATATCTTGTTTCTTTTCATGCTGTTTTTTTGTGCTGTGCATGTGAGTGTTATAAACAATCCACTATCTTTTAGGGCTGTTTCATAATCTTTTTTGATTTCGTTGAAGATGGGTTTACTGGCAGAATTGTCAGATAACCAGCGGTTAATTGATTGTCGGATCTACTTGATTATTGATGTTTGTTTATAAAGTGGTTTGTCATTAGGTTTTCTGTATGGTTGATATTTACTATTTGTTAGGTTGAATGTGACATCTAGGAAACCTTCTTTCAAGTTATTTTTCATGCCGATTCCCATATTTTTTTATTTTTCTTATTTTATTTTTTATCCAATTTTCTGTGTATTGTTACAGTTTCTTAAGATTATGCGACCGTCGTCTCTGGAGAGGCCGATATCGTTTTTATTGATTATGTTACGTAGTTCGTGTAGAAAATGTTTATCTATGAGCTCACAATTCTAATTACCATCAATGCTTCCCATTATAATGTCAAAGGTCCCTTCTTTCTTTATCCGCGTGACTTTGTTGACGAATAATAATGATTTTGAGAGTGTTTACTGATTTTTATTTCGTTTGTGCTTATTTTTATTATCTAGCCTCGGTTCTGTTATAGATGGGTAGCCATATTTTAGTTGTATAAATTGGTAATTATGTTTGTTGTTTAGGCAATGGAAACAGTTTATAGTTGTTTTTTTTTTCCAATGATTTATTGCTAAATCCTTCCTTGGTTCTGAATTAATTCTTTGTATTATTATTTAACTTATTTTACCTAGTTCCTTTTTGGCAGGGTTTATAAGTCTGTATGTTGGGTTTGTTCTTAAATTTTCTTTTTTTTTTTTTCCGTTTTATATATGCTTGGGATTTAGTAATGCAATTTATTCGATTGTCTAGGCCTAATGTTTGGGTCATTCTTTTAGTTTGCATATTAATATCGTATTATGTTATCTTTTGGTGGTTTTTCTGTATGTTTTAGTTATGTTGTCCCTGGGTACTTTGGTTGTAACACTATCTGCTGTTAAAATTGTAACATACGCAACTATCTCCGCCATGAGGCAGGTCCACTTCTCCTTCCTTAGAAGACCGGTCTTGTATCTATAATCCTTTGGTTGAAACACATACTGTGAAAAAGATTACTTTTTTCTTTTATTCGAGAGGAATTTCGCGAAATAATAGCTAAATCTCAGCTGGTTCATACTGGAATTCTCATTGCTTTTAGATACAAATATAGCTTTGTTTCAAAGAACATCGGATGTTTAAAAAAAACACTGGCATCTTTAAAATATACTACGGAATAACATCAAGAAAATTTCAATGGCTTATATTTCCTGGCTGTCTAATCATCACAGAGTATTCATGAATTCGTTCTTTATAGCAAATGAAGTTTGGTATTATATTTGTAAAATATTGATATATTTACAGATTAACTCTTAAAGAGTGAAGAAAAAAGTTGGAAACTGTTATGTAATATGAGTCCGCCTCTATGAGAGTGAATACTGGAGAACCTCCCTACAGGTAAAGATGAGACTTGAGATGACAGAAAGCTGTTTCTGTTAAAGGATGATGTGAATACCATGGACTGAACATGTGAGTAAGGAGGACGTTTGAAAGAAAAGGGGAATAAAAATGACACATTCTTAGAATCAAAAATAGACAGTTGAATTTTCTAGGACACATCATGATGAAAGAGGACTTGGAGAATTCGGCATTGAAAGAACAGAAGGGACAGAAGAAAACATGTAAGTAGCTTATGCAAATAGATTGGATAGACATGGATCACCAAAAGACAAACCTTACTAAGTGCCACAAATCATTACAGTCGTCATGAACATCTGGGTACTGTAATGGGAATTATAAAGAAAGAAAAAACTACTCCCTTGTTCCAATCAATGGAAACAACTGCTTTAGTTTCATTTCTTTCACCATACGGCCAGTTTTAGACCCACTGGAGTGAAAGGGTGTAATCGATTTCTATTTTTTCCTTAGATTAGGTCATTTGCAGTGGTGTGCAGTAATATGAATCCATTCCGAGGGGCATGATAAAATTTGTTTGGCCTTGAAAAATATTGAGTAATCTGTGATTGCATCAGAGTTCCATCACGCCTAGACACTATTGTCTCGACTGTCGATTAGTTGTCATACGGCCATTTTCTGCGATGGACGTTACTCCAAGGAAACGTACGAAAATTGCAACGCTGCAAGAACACAATGGCAAGCCTTACCAGTGGGCAAATCAAAGTATTATTGACTGGCTCGGAAACTCTCCTGATTTAAATCTAGTCGTGAATCTGTGGTCAATCTGCAAGGATTGACTTCATGGAATGGACATACGAAATACTAATGTGTGCACTGGGTCAAGTTCCATTGGAAAAGTACGAAAAAAGTAAATAATAACGGAAGCATTCATTTTGTTTCAATTAATTTGCACAAGGGTGTAAGTTTAAATGACTTAACTTCCATTGACGTTTCTAAATACACAGATCCGCTCGTTAAAGATAAATCCATTGAATGATTAACATTTTTCATTTATTTTTAATACATTACATAAACACACGTCAGTTATTGACATCAATTCCATTTTAAATTTATTCTATACAGCAAACTTTATAACGTGATAACATCTAAGTAGAAATTGTTTGATTATGTCTTTTATAATTTTGCCGTTGTAAAAGTTATAGAACGCTGAGGGAAATAAAACTAGCAAATGTTCCAAATGATCACATAATTTCTTTAATATTAAAACACGTTTAAATTATCGTAATATTTAAAATTACTGTTATTGTATTCCTGAGCCAGGATGTTTATTTACTGAGTTGTTATTTACTTTAGTGTGTATGTGCGTCCGCACTTATGTGTCGATGTGAAGGAGTGAAATTTATCAGTGGCATGCCGTAAAAAATAAAATTAACTATACCCCAAAGTAATTAAAGCTGTTTTTATTCCTGAAATGAATGGCTTCGGGAGTGCTGTTTTTAATTATAATAACCCCACTTTTTTCTGTTTTTCAAATAAAGAAACGAATGGCCGTCCATGAGCAATCAAACAGAGCACGACTTGTATTCTCAGAATACCCGCATCTGACACAAACAAATATATATATATATATATATATATATATATATATATATATATATATATATATATTTATCTCGCTATCGCCCTCGCCCTCGCCCTCACTCTCACTCTCACTCTCTCTTTGTCTTCTCGCTCTCCTCTCTCTTTCTCTCTATCTCTCTCTGTCGCTATCTTTCAAATTTAAATTCACTGATCTGATT